TTGCATTTCTTTCTTTTTTTTTTACTTTAGTTTGCCTTTCTTATTTCTTCTCTTTTGCATTCTTGTAGGTAGGCACCTAATCCTCTGCATTTCTTTTCGTACACATTAGGAGAGAAAATGAGCTACTGCATGAAACCTTTTCTGTTTTACATATGTAATCAAATATCCCAATCTTGAATGAATTTTAAACCCCTAGTGAGCGGGCAGTTTAAGGAGAAATTCTCTGGAGTTGTTATCCTAATGGTTCGCTGATACACAGCAGATATAGCCAGGTGTACCAGCTACGGCATCTGTACGGGGAGAGCTGCAGTCTGAGAAGTGCCATCCCTCAGGGCTACGCCGTGTGGTTGTGGGGCAGCATTCCCCAGCCACACCACCCATTCCTCACTTTATTTTATTTAACACAGAGTCTAGCTCTGTTACCCAGGCTGAGTACAGTGGCACAATCTCGGCTCACTGCAACCTCTGCCTTCCTGGGTTCAAATGATTCTCGTGTCTCAGCCTCCTGAGTAGCTGGGACTACAGGCATATGCCACCATGGCTGGCCAATTTTCATATTTTTAGTAGAAACAAGGTTTACCATACTGGCCTGTCTGGTCTCGACTCCTAACCTCAAGTGATCCACCCACCTCAGCCTCCCAAAGTGCTGGGATTACAGGTGTGAGCCCGGCCCCATTCCTCACTTTAGCCTCAGGCAGAGAAGCCAGCGTGATGGGGAAACACTTATGTAGGAAGGTGTCCAATGTGGTGTTGCAAATCAACAGGAAACATTGCCAGCAGCCGCAGCAAGCCGCAAGCGGGAAGGAAGTGAGAGAGCATGGATGTGCAGAGCTTCCGCAGCCCTGAGGGTGGTCAGTGTGGCTTATGCATCCACAAGGAAAAGGTGGAGGATGTTCAGGCAGCAGGGTGTGCTCCCCAGGCTTCTGTGAGAAACCCGTGGCACAGACAACTACAAACGTGGAATCTGAAATTTAGTGTCTTAATACTTGGTTCTAAAATTAGGTTGATTTAAATTCAGAAGCATGCCCTACTCTGACAAATGTTAAAATAGACTAATAGAAAACACATTTTGACACAGGCCCTGGGTTTGAGACTCCTCCATCATCCCTAAACCAGAGGAACAATTGCTGTGTGAGCCAGCAATATTTGATCTAATTTCTGTTTAGTTTCTGTGATGTAGCTGTGCTACCTTTAAAATTAAAAAAAAAAAAATTATCTCTTACTTTAATTCCTTCCTACTTCCAGGTGAAAAAAATTTTTATTGTTGAATGAAAAATATTTCTATCGTGTTATTGGAAAAATTGTATGTGTTCTCTCCCAACTCGATACCCCCAATATTTTAACAGATAGAAAAACAGGCTTGGCATGGTGGTTCATGCCTGTAATCCCAGCACCTTGGGAGGCTGAGGTAGGAGGATGGCCTGAGCTCAGATTTTGAGACTAGCCTGGGCAGCACAGTGAGACTCTGTCTCTCCAAAAAATAAATTAACCAGATTTGGTGGCACGTGCCTGTAGTCCCAGCTACTCTAGAGGCTGAGGTGGGAAGATGGCTTGAGCCCAAGAGGTTGGGGTTGCAGTGAGTTGTGATTGCACCAATGCACTCCAGCCTGGGTGACACAGTGAGACCCTGTCTCAAAAGAAATAAATTGGACAATGACAAAATGAGCAATGGTGGAAGGGCAGTAAACTCCATTTTGCACAGGAAAGGTAGCGTAGGGACGACTTGTTGACCGCCAAGGAGTGAAGGTGGGGCTGGGCAGCTCTCTATCTAAAGCCCTGGCCCTGACAGGCGGCTGTCTCCCTCAGTAACTGCTGCTGTGGGGTCCACTCCCTGCCATGGCTGTTCCCGAATGCTGCTTCATCCCTTGCTGACCCCTTTATTGACATCACCCTTGGTTAGGTGCAGCCATTTCCTGTGGGGCCCCAAATGAACATGCCTTTCACCCCTGTGCTCCAGCCATCCTGAGAGCCTCTCAGTTCTGGGGCCACCCTGAGCTCTCTGCACCTTGAAAACTCCCCCACAGACCCCTCTGCTGTGCCCCCAACCCTGGCCCACTCCTGCTCACCTTCGGCTTCTGGAGGGCTGTGCTGGCCATGGTCTGTGCTGGTGGCAGCTGGGTGCCCATTGCTGTTAGACTCTGGGGTGGGATCCGTGTTGCCCAGGGTCTTCATTCTGTGAGGGTGGCCTACTTTGTTCTGCCCTGGTCACTATTTCTCCCAGTGCTGGACGCCGTGCCTAGCACATCACAGGTGCCCAGTAAGGAGCTTGTGATGAGCCTAGTGTTCATGGAGGAAGCTGAAAACTAACAAACGCAAACATTGGCTCTAGGTTTCATACAGTGAAGTTCTGGGCAGAATTTGGTTGCCGTAAGTAGAGCTTGAGGGCCTGGAGAGAACATGCAGTCCTTCAGATGTGCGCACCTTTGGGGGATCTGCACAGAGGTCAGGTGCCATCTACCCAGGGCCTGAGCAGTTTGCAGGGCCCACTGCAAAACAGTACATGGGGCCCTTGCTCAAAGAGCATTGAGAATTTCCAGAGAGCAACAGCAGAGCACTTACCCAAACTCACAGCCATTCTAGCGTGGGGCCTGGATCACCGCTTGGGTGGCCAGCTGGAAGGCCTACCCTGCATACACACCCAGTTGCCAGCTCAGTGCCTGGCCCAGATAAAGCCTTCCTGCTTCCTTCCTCTTTCCCTCTCTCCCTCCTTCCCTCGGCCACCCACTCATTCCCTCATCACTCACTCCTTCACTTATCCATTCTCTCATTCACTCATTTCTTTGTTTATTCATCCCCGCATTCATTCATTCTCTTACTTATTTCCTCACTCATTCATCCTACTTATCCATTCTCCCACTCACTCCCTCATTCATTCTTACTCATTCTCATTTATTCATCTCATTAACTCACCCATTCATTCATTCTCTCATTCATCCCCTCATTCATTGTCTCACTCACTAATTTCCTCATTCATTCCCTCATCACACATTCCCATGCTCACTCGTTTCTTCATTCATTCATCCCCCTCATTCCCTCATTCATTCTCTCATTTATTCATCCCCTCATTAACTCATCCATTCATTCACTCATTCATTTATTCATCCCCTCATTCATTTTCTCTCATTTCTTCAATCCATTCTCTCATTCACTTATTCATTTATTCTCTCATTTCCTCACCCATCCATCCCTTCACTCATTCCCTCATTTATTTATCCCCTCACTCATTCACTCATTCTCTCATTTCCTCACTTGCTCATTCATTCCCTCCCTCATCCATTCTCTCATTCCCTCATTCCCCCACTCTCATTCCTTCATTCATCCCCCATTCCCTCCTGCTCTCATTCTCACTCATTTTCTCATCATTCCTTCATTCATCCCCTCACTCATTCACTCATTCATTCTCACTCCTTCCTTAATTCCCTCCCTCATTCATTCATTTTCTCCTTTCCACACTCATTCCCTCACTCATCCATTCTCATTCCCTCACCACTCATTCCTTCATTCATCCCTCACGCATTCACTTATTCTCTTGTTTCCTCATTCACTCACTGAGTCCCTCACTCATTTACTCACTTCCTTATTCCCTTGCTCACTCCCTCATTCACTCATCACTCACTAATTCTCTCATTCATTTATGCACTCACTTCTTCATTCCCTTGCTTATTCATTCCATCACTCATTCACTAATCACTCACTCATTCCCTCACTTATTCACTCATTCATTTCCTTGCTCATTCATTCACTGATCCCCTTACTCATTCCCTCACTCATTCCCTCATCACTCATTCCCTCACTCATTCATTCCCTCACTTGCTCATTCCCTCACTCATTCATGTCTTCATTTTTTACATTTTTCTCCCTCAAAGAGAAACCAAAGAGATAAGATGGGGCTATGGTAGGCACTCTCTTCCGGTACCTGGACTCAGTCAGCACCTGAGCCTTCACCTGTCCTGCATAGGATGGGGGCGTGGCTCCTCCTGAGAAAGAGGATAAAGACATCATTTTGTCACTCACTCATTCATTCACTCACCCACTCCTTCCCTCCTTGTCCTATCAGACAGGTCTTTCCAGGGACCTTCTGGGAAGCAGGCAGAGGTATAGTGCAGGGACATGCCCTTTTGCAGCTAACATTCCCATGGGAGGGGGCAGAGTGCTACCAAGAGCACAAGCAGATCTGTCATGTCAGATGTCAACAAATGTGCTAGAGGAGGAGAAGGCAGGGCAGGGCCTGGGGGAGGGCCTCACTAAGAATACGGTCCGCGAGGAGGCCGGCATAGTGAGGACCGAGTGGACGTGAAGGATGGGGAGAGGGGAGGCAGAGAGGCCAAAGGCCCAGCACCCGTAGGCCTCAGCAAGAACCACGGCCTTTATTTTTATTGAGGTGAGATGGTAGCCACCGGGGGATGCTGAGCAGAGAAAGGCCGCAGTCTGACTTGTACTTTAACACACCTCTCGCCTCCATGTGGAAACAGACTGGGTGCAGGTGAGAAAGTGGGGCCTGCCTTCAAGGGCGCTGTTGCTGTCCCTCAGATGCTGGTGAGAGCTGTGGGACTGGAGGAAAGCCACATGATCCTGGCCACACTCAGGAGGGGAGCGGCTGGGCCAGGTGTGGGTGTGGAACGGAGAGGGGCGTGGAAGATGCCCAGCAGCAGGAGGCCAGGTTCCCTATGTTGAGGAGGGAGGGCTGAGGCCCCACATGGGGTCCTGAAGGAAGCCCAAGCCACGTGAAGCTGGCGCAGGGGGCAGCCTGGGTTTCGTCCTCTCCAGTGACAGGGCAGGGTCTGCAAGTGGGTATGTGTGTTTAGAAATCTGCTCCAGGCGTGGATGGGTAAAGATAAACTTCACACATGCTGATCCGGGAAGCACTGCTGGAGTTGGTATCAGGTGACAGGCATGGCTCAGCCAAGGCTCAGCCTGTCTTGAAAAGAGCCTGCTGTGCTCTCTGCAACGAAGGTTGCCATCCAGGGTCCGAGGCTGCTATGACAGACAGACAGATGCCATTCTGAAAACATCAGGTTTATTAGGATTAGCTGTAGTGTACACTGATTCCTTTAGCTCTAAACGGATACATATGGGCCCCGCAGACCGTATACACGCGGGGATGTGACCGAGCCGCAGTGACATAGCAAACCTGACAGCTAGCTTGTGAAGCCATCGTGATCCCAGTAAGGTTTATGTTAGCAACTGGTGAGAGAAGAGAGTGAGACAGGACCTGCACTGGCCTGGGGGTGGGGTCCGAGCGGAGCCTGTGGGTTTTCAGAGCACCCACCAGTGCTGCCTCAGCGAGCCCAGAGCCACCTGGAAGTGGAGTGAAGCTGGGTCACTGCTGTGAGGGAGGGAAGCTGACTCTCTACCCCTTGCCACTTCAAGGAACTGAGGCCAGTAGGGTTGTGGCCGTCACCGGCCACAGGTGGCATCTTTCTCTAAAAAGCTTTCCAGGCATGAAATCCATTTCTGTATGGACCAGGCTGTGTTGACAGTGGCACTTGGTCCTTGTGTCCCAGGCCTTTGGATCCCTTCCTGGCCTTTGCCCTCCTCTCACCTTCTTGAGGCCAAGCTGTGCAAGACCTGGCATCCCTTCCAAACCTCAGTTCCTCCCGTCCCTGTGCTGGTGCAACTCCAGAGCTCAGAATGTCAGCATGGAGATGTCAATATTGAGAAGGAACTCAACTCAAGGCTTCACAGCTTTCCAAGATGGCGACCGGCTCTGGAGTGGCCGTGCGTGAGATGTTAGGCACGCTCACGCGCGGGGCCCTGTGCAGGCTCCTGACCCAGCAGGGAGACATGGTGGGTGGATGTACCAGCCCCTTCCAGATGACATGAAAGAGTCCCAACTTCAGGAAAGTTTTCCTTTTAAATGTTGGTGATTCTTTAACCAGGAATGCAAATACTACTGAAGTGTCGTGTGTGTCTGTGAGAGCCTTCATATAAATAAAGTCATGCATCTAAAGAGTCCCTGGTCAGGCTGCATGCCGATATTTAATTTGGGGAATGGCAATGGCATCACGTGTCTGGGGGAGTCGGCGGGGAGGCGTAGGGACTTTTGTGTGACCTGCTCTATCACAGCTCCTGGGGAGAATTACAGATCTGAGCCCAGGGCCTCTTTGGGCTTTGGGAAAGCATTCCTGCTTTTCCTGAGCTGAGAAGCAGAAACATTCCCATGGCTGCCCTGTTGCCAGGGCTGACTGAGCAGGCAGGGCTGCCTTTCTCTCTCAGCATGCATTTTACATTTTTCTCCTTCAAAGAGAAGCCAGGAAGACAAGCTGAAACTACGGAAGTCGCTCTGTGGGGACATGGGCTGGGTCAGCACCCAGGCCCGCACCTGCCCCATGTGGAGTGAGGGCTTGGCTCCTGCCCTAGGGCACAGCATGATCTTCAGCAGGGTGACCCATTCCTGGCTCTGCCATGGTGTGGTCAGGGTTGCTGGAGGGAGGGTGGAGGGGCGCACTCTCTAGGGACCGAGGTTAGCCTCCAGAACAGGGCCTGGGAGAGCAGTGGCAGTTCCTGCTGTGGGAGGAAGAAGGGCAGGAGCCCCTGACGCCTAGACGTCATGTTGGGGGCCCTGGTGGGAAGTGGCCCCCTCTTCCGTGGCCCCAGGATCCCTAGATTGCACCTTCTGCAGGGCTTCAATGGTGGCAACACCCTGACCAGGGTCATATTTGCACTAAGGGGCCTCCTGAGGTAACAGCAAGTCCCATTTAGAAGGTGAAAGTATTCCCGAGGTGGTGATCCCCCACTTATTGCTGGCACCAAGTGAGGCCAAGGGCAAGACTGGGTGGTGTTGGCACCTGAGAAGGGCAGACTAGGCCCAGGGCCTCAGCTCCAAAAGGTGATGCCAGCCTTGGCCTTGGGTGAGGCCTGGCCTGGCGTGTCCTGCTGTGGCCTGGGGCAGGGCTGGGGGTAACTCCATTCCCTGCTCTGGGTCACTAAGTGCTCCGTGTAGACCTGGGCAGGGAGGCCTGGCCTGCCCCTGTGCTGGGCCTCTCTTCTGCCACCAGAGGTAGCTGTGCTGCTAGCACTGACACTCTCAGGGTAGCTCTGGGCCTTAGGTAGGCCCAGGCCCAGGCCCAGGGACCACATCCCCATGGGCTGCCACTGCTCCATGGTCCCAGAGGGGCAGGAAGGGCACCAGACCTTGCCCATAGAAAAGGCCCAGGCAAATCCCCTCTCTAGGGCTGCTGGCTCAGCTCCTGGAGCACAGGGCCCTCTGTCCCCACCAACACCCAACCCGTCCAATTCTATACAGTAGCATCAAGCTCCGATTCCTTTGTTTGCTCAGATTCACCTTGCTCCCTCCCACCTACCCACCAAAATAGTCTCTGCTTTAAAATATACATTATATATTAGACATTTCATCTTCAATACAATTCTCTCATAGCATCAGGTAAAATTAGTGACTCCAGAGGAAAAGCAGCCTTTGTGAGTACAGACAGTACTCAGGGGCCAACCTGAGTCTCCCCCTGGTGGGAGGGGAAGGGTAGGGGGCAGAGAAGAGCCTCAGTTTCCTGCTCAGTTCTCTTTCTGAGCTAAGCCTCAACCCCCTCCCCTCTGCAAAGCCTGGCCTCGGGCTGACAAGGAGCCCACAAAGTCATGGGCGGCTGCTCATTTTGAGGAAGTGCTGGGCATTTTTTGGGTCTCAGAGGGGCACATGAGTCTGCCCCAGGGAGCTGGCCCCTGTGGAGACAGCAGCCACCTCATCACATGGCCAGAGAAAGGCCACCAAATGGAGGCCAGTGAGAGAGGGCGCTGGGGCTCGAGCAAGGGGTGGGCAGGAGGGAGGCGCCTCCAGTTATTGCAGTCTGGTGTCCTGGGAACACCAGGAATTCCTGGAACCCTTGTGGGAGCTGGGAGAGGCAGGGCAGAGGCTTGGCTTTGTTTTAAGTAGATATTTTAGCACATTCTTTATGAAAAATCACCTGGGACCTTTCTCTTTTTTTGCATGAAGTGTCTACCCATGAAGGTAGGTCCAGTGTCTGACAGCCTAATGTGTAACAAAAATGTCTTTTTGTTATTTTTTAGCAAATTGTGCTAGGGATTTCTCCAATTTCTGGGTTTTTATTTTGTTTTAGTTTTTTTGCAAGCCACATCTGCGAAGCCATCTCTGCCCTTCCCCTGCCTGTGTCCCCTAGATCCTGAGCTGGGCATGAGCCAGTGCATTCAGGGTGGGGACGAAGTTCCTGTCACGGACGTCCTTTGAGAGACCCACATGTTTATTTCATGGAAGACAGAGTTGGTGACTTCAGGAAGCTCTTTGTGGAGAACATGGTAGGCACCTTCATAAATCTGCAATGAGGAGAGACATGGAATCAGTGCTATACTATCAGAGGTAGGTGTGGGGAGCAGAGACCACGGGCAGCAGGCAGGGGTCTGCAGTGTTCTCCGGACCCTCTTGCTGTGCCCTGAGGACGTGGCCCTGACCTCCCATCATTAGGAGGCCAATACTTTTCTATCAGATGATGGTTCAAATGCATTACAACGTCCCAACGTGTTCCCAAACTTCCTTTCTCAAATGCAACCTTCCTTCACTCCATTTCTCCCCATCCCTGGAGCCATTTCTGTGTCTCCGAGTCAGTCAACCTTCTCAAAAGAGGGGGTTCCACTCCTGGCCTCACATCTTGACCTCCACAGGGTCCTCAGCTCAACCCAAGCTGACTTCCATTCCTGCCAACCCACGGTGGCTATCCTGGCGAGGTCTCCAGGGATTTCCATTGCCTTGGCAGGGGACGCTGTGCTCATCATTCATAAGCTGCTCACTCTTACCTTCTAGAAACACTTCCCTCTCGTGGTTCCATGGCTTTAACTTCTGATTTTCTTCCAACTAGCAGTGCCTTCCCAGTCCAGGCTCACCCCACCCACTGGCCTCTGCAGGCAGCTGGACTACAGGCTTGACTGTGCCTTCCTTCACTCTCCCTGGTCACCTCACCTATCAGGTGGTTTTAGAATCTGTCCTGGGCTGATGACTCTGGAATTCACATCTCCAGCCAGACTTCCCTTCCGCCTCTAGACTGCCGACCTCCCATCTCCATCCGGATTCCTGGTGGGCACCGCCAGACTTCAGTGCAACTTGAACAGGCATCTCCAGGTGGACTCCGGCCATTGCTCACGTCAGTCTCTCTGCCTGGCATTTCTGGTCTCATCATAGTCACCTCATTGAATGAACCCAGGGTTCATTCTTCAAGACAGTGATCTCACTCTCTGCCGCCCTGCCTGGCCTCCCCTGCCTTGGTTGTCACTGTTCCCCATATCCTCTTTACCCCCACTCTGGTCTCCCCATGGCCACTGGGGGATGCTTTTAAAATGGAAATCAGAGTGCATCACTCTTTGGCTCAAAACACTCGGGTGACTTCTCATCTAACCAAGAGAAGACGTCTAGACTTCCCAGGTGGTGGGGCTCCCCTGCCCCCCTACAAGTCCCCCTGCTGGTGTGTCCTCACTGGCCACTCTTCTCGTGGCTGTGTGCCTATGTCAGCCTTGGGTCCTCAATCTTGCTCTTGCATTGGTCTGGAAGTTTCTTCCACTGGCTCTTCTCACCCGCAGACTGCAGGCCTTGCTGTCCCATCCCCATCTAAAGTGTTGCTTTCCTCCCTGTCCACCTCTATCCCTGCACTACACTCTCCATCATCATCCTGTTCATTTATTTGTTGATTGCTTATCCCACCAGGATACAGGTTCCCGGGGGCACGGGAGAGTCTTGGCCTGTCTTGTTCTCTGGACCCAATACAAACTTAGGGCCCCATAAACACTTGAATTAAAGAAGCAATGAGTGGATAGCTGGGTGAATGAATAAACAATCTTAGTGGACGCCTTTCGCAGGGACTTGCAAGGGTTCACACTGGTGTAAGGGTGTGGTCTGAATGCAGTGTTCCACTGGCTTTTTAAAAATATATTTTACCAGGCATGGTGGCTCACGCCTATAATCCCAGCACTTTGGGAGGTCAAGGTGGGTAGATCACCTGAGGTCAGGAGTTCAAGACCAGCCTGACCAACGTGGTGAACCCCCATCCCTATTAAAAATACAAAAATTAGCCAGGCATGGTGGTGGGCACCTGTAATCACAGCTACTCAGGAGACAGAGGCAGGAGAATCGCTTTAACCCAGGAAGCAAAGGTTGCAGTGAGCCAAGTTTGTGCCATTGCACTCCAGCCTGGGCAACAAGAGCAAAACTCCATCTCAAAAACAATATATATATGTTTACGTATATTTATTTATTTAGGGCTGGGCATGGTAGCTCATGCCTATAATCCCAGCACTTTGAGAGGAGGCAGGAGGATCACCTGAGGTCAGAAGTGAGACCAACTTGGCCAACATGGTGAAACCCCATCTCTACTAAAAATACAAAAATTAGCCAGGCATGATGGCAGGTGCCTGTAATCCCAGCTACTCAGGAGGCTGAGGCAGAAGAATCTTTTGAACCTGGGAGGCAGAGGTTGCAGTGAGCCAAGATCGCACCACTGCACTCCAGCCTGGGTGACAAAGCCAGACTCTGTCTCAAATTAAAAAGCTTGTTTTTGAAATGGGGTCTCACTGTGTTGCCCAGGGTGGTCTCAAACTCCTGGGCTGAAGTGATCCCTGCTACTCAGCCTCCTGGGTAGCTGGGATTACAGACATGCACCACCACACCTGGCTCAGTGTTTTTAGACTCTCCAGTGTTAATAAGAGCCAGTTTTCCCTTTTTTTTTTTTTTTTCACTTCTTTCTCTTCACCTATGAGTCTATACCGGAGCTGGTACAGGTCAGCGTCTGCAAATCAGTAACGATGCTAGGGACGCACTTCATGATTTGCAAAGATATGAGCCTTTGTCTGCACAGTGAGGAGAGAAGAGAAACGATGGGGCTTGAGTCCAGAAATCTCGGTTCCAATCCCAGCTCTATACTTAGTGGGTGTGTGAGCTGAAGTAAGTTACCTGGTCTCTTTATAACCTGGTGAAAAATGGCCATGGACCCAGAGCGCAGGCCCAGGGCAGCACAGTCCAGGGAGCCTCAACCTCATGGACCAGGATGTAAATGTGCCCCTGGGCTTGGCCTGCCAAACCCAGCACAGAGCATCTCCAGGGATAACATTTGATGGGTACCCGGTAGGTGTTCCTCCCTCCAGGAGGCTTTTCTCATCAATCAGACAAACAAAATGAGCATGTCTGGATCCCAGAACCACACTGCCCATCTTAAGAGGCCTTTTGAGTTAGTCCATTGCAGTCTTGGTATCTAGTATTCCAAATAACCAAGCTGCAGGGCCTGTCCTCAGGGTCCCTGGCTGGAGGGCCAGCTCTGGCAGGTCCCTTCACAGATCAGGCTCTATCAAGTCCTGCCAGCACCCGTGTGCCCTGAGCCCTCTGGTGGCCACAGCTCCCGGAAGACCGCAGCCACTGCTGGTGCAGAGGGAGGCTTGGACATCACATGCATCCTTGGAGCTTGGACATGCCTCTCTTGGGAGACGTGATTTGCTCAGTGCCCAGCTGCATATTCTTTTCTTGCCTATAACATCTTTTGATTTTTCTTTCCTTTTCCCTTTGAGGCTCATTCATTCGAAACGATCAGCAAATGATTCGTTTGTTCTCTTGAAATTCATAGGCGGCTGGGATTCCTCGTGTTTATTTCTTGGCGGTGCAGGCTGGTCCCTATCCCGAGACCTGGGAGCTGGCCCTCAGGGGTCTGGGCAGATATGCCCCAAGGGGTGCTGCCTCCCCGCCCCCTCAACCTTGGGGGGAAATAGGAGGTGGCAGCTGCTCACCTTGAGAGTCTTGTCCTGGCTCTTGGCTGATTCCATGAGCAGGTAGGCCCCTTTGCTGTCACACAGGCGGTCGGCAGAGCCCTGGAGCAGCAGGAAGGGCACAGTCAGCTTGGGGAGGGCGCGCTCCACCCGAGAGACGGCATTCAGCAGCTGTATGCCGAAGCATACCTTCAGCCCTGCCCGGCAGATCAGAGGATCTGAGTTATAAATGTCCACCTGAAGGAAGAAGGAGAGAGTTCCATTAGCATGGGTGGGGCTCCCTTCCACAGGCCATTCCTATTTCCCAGTAGCTTTTCCTTCTGCTCTGGGCTGTAAGGTTGATTCCATTCCGGTCCGCTGGGCTTGGGCGTGGCTCTGAGGGCCAGCCTCGTTCATCCACAAAACTCATCTGCACCACCTGTACTGCCTCTCCTTTCAGGTTTGAGCGTTTCACATACACATGGGTGCCTGCAGAAAATTTCGAGTATTGGCTGGGCATGGTGGCTCACACCTGTAATCCCAGCCCTTCGGGAAGCTGAGGTAGGCGGATCACTTGAGGTCAGGAGGTCAAGATCAGCCTTACCAACATGGTGAAAGCCCATCTCTACTAAAAATATTAAAAATTAGCTGGGCATTGTGGCGGGCACCTGTAATCCCAGCTACTCAGGAGGCTGAGGCAGGAGAATCCCTTGAACCTGGGAGACGGAGTTTGCAGTGAGCCGAGATGGAGCCACTGCACTCCAATCTGGGTGACAGAGTGAAACTCCATCTCAAAAAAAAAAGGAAAATTTCAAGTATTAATTTGTATTTTAAAAAATATAATCAGCAGCATATTATTCACATCAAGTATTTCCTTACAAAGTAGCTCTGTAGCAGTTTCATCATTTCATTTTGTTCTCTGTCTCTGCTGATATGGTATCCACCGGGTGGAGTTGGATGAGGGGCAAACTGACAACTGCAGGAACAGTTTACTGCGAGGGCCCGTGTTAGGAGTCCCTGGAGGGGCTTCGGCCGGGCACTGATGACGGGCTTTGGAATGAGGGACATCCAAGGGGAGGCCTGAGCTACAGTGGGCTCTGGCCTCGGTGCCCTCCAGGGCTGCACAGGGTGGTCAGAGGCTCTGACAGGGAAGCCTGGGCCCTGGCGGTGCCCAAGGCCATCTCTGCCTCTCTAAGGAATGTGGGTCCTCCCTCCTCAACCACTAGCCCATGGACCCTGCCTTTCGAGGGACTGCTGTGTCCCCTGACCTTGCTCTCCCTGGCCTGTCTGGGTTTCTGGCTTCACTCCTCCTGCTTTCATAGAGACAGCTCAGCCTCTACTGCCCTGATCTCTGGCATTTGCCCCTCAGGTTCTGGAGAGAAGTTTTTAGGAATCTCTCAGGCCTGTAGGGTCAAGAGTGAGCCCTCAATTCTTATTTATTTATTTATTGAGATGGAGTCTTGTTCTGTCACCCAGGCTGGAGTGCAGTGGTGCAATCTTGGCTCACTGCAACCTCTGCCTCCCCAGTTGGAGTGATTCTGCTACCTCAGCCTCCCAGGTAGCTGGGCTTATAGGCACCCACCACTACACTAGGCTAATTTTTGTATTTTTGTAGAGACAGGGTTTCACCATGTTGGCCAGGCTAGTCACGAACTCCTGACCTAAGGTGATCCATCCATCTCAGCCTCCCAAAGTGCTAGGATTATAAGAGTGAGCCACCACACCTGCCTCATGGTGCTTTTTCACTCATGTTTGTCATCCTTGCCAGTGGGTTCTTGGCGGGTTGGGGAGGGGCCACATGGTGAGAACTCAGTGAGGATCAAAGAGTATGTTGGGACTGGGAAAGAACGAGCTCCCAGCTGCTCTCCAGGTGACCAGGATGCCCACTGTGCTAGGACTCAGCATTTCCAAGAGTTGAGCTACACCCCCTTCTGTTAGCACCCCTACAGGGCCTCAGTCAGAATTCCAGACCATACCAAGTGGGAGAGGCTGTCCTGCAGTCACCCCTGCCATCCCTGGATTCCTTCCCATGCTGGGGACTGAGCACCAAAAACCAGACCATTTGTGAAAAGCCACACGAGACAGATTAGCCACTTCCTGCAGCTGAGCTGGCATGAATCCTGCTGGGCCAGGCCATCTGCTTGGAGGTTGTGAGGACACAGGACTGGCAGGGCAGTGCACGGGTGCCTGTGGCCAGGCCCAGCCACAGGGCGTGCTTCCTCAGGGTCAGCCAGGAGCCCTGAGGGAAGGAGGGCTGTGGGGCCCATAAAAAAGCCTGGGGCTTGGGGTCAGTGGAGTCCCCAACAGCAGCACCATCTACCAGCTTGTGCTGGGCTGCAATGTGCAGGGTGTCATTGAGTAATAAAAATAATAATAGCTATGTCTGAGCTCTGGCTGTCTGCCCAGCACTAAGTGTTTTTGTGTGCAGTAACTCACTGGACCTCCATAACTGCCCTGTATGAGGAATTGATCTCATTTGCTCCATTACACAGAGTAGGAAACTACAGCACAGAGAGGCTTGTTAACCTGCCTGTTAGTTGCCCCAATTTTTGTTCTCCCCTACAGAACCTTGATGTTTCCTGGGGTACACAACTGCTCAGAATAGAGACTACATTTCCCAGCCTCCCTTGCAGGTAAGTATGGTCACATGACCAACTTTTGGCCAATAGAAAGTAGCCAGGGGCTGTGTGCACACTGTGTCAAGGGTTTATTTTCCCCCTTGCTCCATAGAGAGAGTCAGGGCCACATGGACAAGTTTCACACCTGAATGCTAGAGCAACAAGATGGGTGTCCTGATGCCAAGAAGTCACCTCCTCTCCTTCTTAGGCTGCTGTTGTTGGGGGTCTGAGTTCCAACAGGCTGGCCATGCCTGGGCTGGGCCACCACCCATTCCATGCTGTCTCTAGGGCTCCTGTGGGACCTGTGGGGTGGGGGCCGCACTCTTGCCTCTGCTGCCAGCGATGTCTTAACGACTGCCTCCTTCCTGCAGCAATCTTCTACTTTGCCCCGCTGACCCCAAGTGTCCCCAGTACAGCAGGCCCTCAGGGACTCTGCTTCTGAGTTTAATTGCACTGATGGCCCAAGTGGTTTCCTGCTCTTGGCTTTATTTTCATGTCTTGATCACGTAGACCCTGTTTACACAATGGCCTATTCTGGGCCTGGGGCCCAGCCACCAGATGTATCGGGGAAAGGGCAGGCCCCTGATGTGAACTACAGCCCAGACTGGAAGTGAAGGGCAGAGGGAAACTGAGACCAGGAGGTGGGGGTGGGCTGTACCAGCTGGGGAGACTGAGGAACAGAGGGCCCAAACCCTCCCCTCAGGCAGCAGTCTGGCCCAATCACAACGGCCTTGGTTTTTTGACCAGCTTAAGGTCTCAATCTGCCAAAAGTTCTAAGAGTGTATCTTGTGCCTCCCAGGAAGGAGATAGCCAGGCCCCTTCCTCTCAAACCAGGCCAAAGCTCAGAACATGAGCTCATTCATTCAATATGAAGGATCAAAGTGTCAGTCCCCAGAGATTCCACACTGCTTGATTCTCCTGATGTTTTTTTCTTCACGTGACAAAACTAGAGAAACAGAGACCAGACTCAACGGCTGTCAGGGCCGAGGAGAGTGTGGGGAGGGTGGGGAGTGGATGTAGTTTGTAAAAGGACAATGTGAAGGGTCCTTGTGAGAATGGAGCCATCTGTGACTTGACTGTGTCAAGGTCAGTATTCTGGTTGTGATATTGTCTTATTGTTTTGCAAAATGTCACTGCTGGGGGAAACTGGGTAATGGGTACATGGAATGGTTCTGTATTATTTTTTACAACTGCTTGTGAGTTACAGTGATCTTAAATGAAAAGTTTAACTAAAAACAAGTAACAAAGGCTCAGGCTTTGGCACCATCTCTCACATCTCCACCTTCCTGTTTGGTCCACCATGGCTCCCACCAGCTGAGACCAGGGTCTGTTGGAGACGGCAGCTGGAAGCAGGAGCCCAAGCTGGAGACCCAGGTCCAAGTGACCCCCTCCCCATGATTCTAGGTAACTGATTTCCTGGGGAGCCCCCACTGACTGAAAGCTGAAGTCTTTTCTCCCCCCAGGGTGGTGGTTGGGAGTATGGTAAGGCTCTACCCCTTCCCGGGCCTCAGTTTCCCCATTCAGGGAACCCCAAAGCTTCCTCTTAGCTTTTTAAGTTTCACAAGCTGGCCTCCTGTTGAGCTTGACAGCCAGGAATATACCAGCTGGGGCTTCTGAATTTCCAGCACCATCTCTCTGTGGGAAGAAACTTTGCACTAACGCCCAGTAAATACAGCTGCAATCCTCAGCTGGGAGTTTTCTTACACTTACGGTTGAGCAAAATCTAGACACAACCCCTGCAGTCAAATCTCTTGACCCATTTTTTTAAAAAACTGTTCCATGAAATCCAATATCACCGTTTCATTAGAGTACTGTGAAAAATAACAGATGGGGGTGCCCTTGACTCTTTTACTAGATGCTGTAGCAAGTGCTTTGCTCGTACTTGCTCATTTAATTTTCACAGGAACGCTGTGACACAGGAACTATTATTATTACCTTTGCACACGTGAGGAGATAGGTTCAGAGAGGTTAGGTGACTCACCCAAGGTTACACAGCAAGTAAGAGGCAGAGCCAAGGTAAGAACCTAGGCACTCTACCACTGCCATCAGCATTTTTAGCCACTCATCATGCTCTACTGCCTGTCTCGAGAGAAGGTGAAGGTCAGCGCTGGGGCGGAGAGAGCCAGGAGCTGTGCAGGTGGCAGGGGCACTAGTGCTCTCAGAAAAGGCAGGAGTGGTCCCTGGTAAGGATGATGAACCAATGGGCCTGACAGATGGTGAAGTGAACTGGTGGGGCCCAGAGGTTACTGCCCTTCACAGCCAGCCAGAGGGCATGGCTTTCTGGGCACAGACAGGCAGTACCCACCCAAATGCACCCCTAATCACAGAGAAATACAACCCACAGGCTTCATCCCTGTAGGTCTGTCCACAGCTGGCTCTTCCCTCCCCACCTTCCCTGTAATCCCTTTTTTCCTATGGAAGGCTCACCCTTCCACGTGCACTTTAGAGCCCATCCTGGAATTCCCACCTTCCTCGATTGTTTAGATTTCTCTTGATCCATCTTTTTCCAATACAGGGAAGCCTTCTCTGGCATAATAGAAAAAGAATGCGTGACAGCTCTACCCAAGTGATCTCTGAGAAATTTACAAACCTTCAGGAACCCTAACAGGAACTGGCAGGTCTTTGCAGAGATGACGTCTT